CACACACAGAGTTGTCCTCATATGATATTTTTACCCCTAGCTACCTTAATACTCTAATAACCATCCTGATCCTTTGAGGACCCCATCATTTCAACGCCCCTTTAAAGTCATGAGGTATATGGTATTATGGGCACTATGCTTCCTTTCTAGTGGTGTACAGGGTGGGTGATCCGCGCCGTGGTTTTTTTCTGCTTATGCTGTACCGCATTCACGCGTGCGGGCGGGCTTGCCTATCGTCGCTCGCCATGGCACCTTACGGCCCCGTGCGAGTATGCAACCCGTCCGCACGCATGAATCCGGTGCAGTATAAGCAGAAAAAAACCACGGCGCGGATCACCCACCCTGTATGGGCACTATGCTTCCTTTCTAGTGGTGTATACCAGAGTGCAGTAAAGTAGAAAGCATGAACCAATCGGAAATCGGATCACTTCATGATACCAAACACACCATATCAAAGTTGCAGTAAAAAGTCCGCACCAATCCGATTTCATGGAATTATAATAAAAACAGAATAAAAAAAGAAATGTTAAACAAACAAAGAGCAATTCATACAGGGGCAGCAGCATATTTGTACGCAGCTCACCCAGCAGCGCAGGTTTTATCCCCGCATTCGGTTATGCCTTTGCCTGAAGGTGGTGGGAGGGTTGGGGGGAAGCAAGCCACGACCTCGGTGCTGACTCCCCCAACCAGGCACAAGGAGCAGCTCCCCCTGAGGGGGTTGCTTTCCCCATCAACAAGAAGAAGAATAGGAAGAAGAAGAAGAGCAGAAGAAGAAACGGCAAAACAGCAGATGCGGGGCACGGGCCAGCAGCCAGAGTACGCCTCGGCCCCGCTCGGCCTACTACACCTCCACCACCTGAACCCCACGCAGCACCAGCCAACGCCACCCCACGGACCAATGAGCGCGCATAAGCCTCTGAGCCACTGCGTCAAGAGCGGGGGAGCGAGAGGGAGAGAGAGGGAGAGAGCGAGAGGGGCCGTGTTGTTAAGCTGCTGCTAAGATGCCGCGAAGCGACGCTATACCCCCCCACGCAACAAGAATAAAGCGAAAGCGCAGTCATTAAAAATTACGTCGCCTGAGGACCGGAGAGAGAGAGAGAGAGAGAGAGAGAGAGAGAGAGAGAGAGAGAGAGAGAGAGAGAGAGAGGATGTTCTGCTGGAAGGGGAGCGCCCCCGCGCAAGCAGCAGCAGGTTTCGCATTATTTGCAATATTTTTTCCCCCTTTTATCGATGTGAACGCCCTTTGCGAAAGGCCAGGCCGGGCCAGGCGAGCGCGCGAGGCTGACGCCCGCTGTCTGTCGCCGTCATACACTGCTCGCCCGCGCCACGCCACGCCGCTCAACAGGTGGGGCGGGGCGCCGCGGGCCGCGGAGGAAAAGCAGGCGAAGCCCGGCCGTGCGCATAAAGGGGCTCTGCTGACGCACCGCCGGGCCGACGCGGAAAGGTTCGAGCGGCTAGAAACCCGGTGAGAAATGATCAATCAAAAAGACATCAATTTGACGCAAATTCGTCAAAATATCATCAAATTTTGGGACACATTTTCATCATTGACGTCAAATTGATGTCTTTTGTATTGATCATTTCTCACTGGGAACCTATTGCTGAATTTGCCTTTCTTTCTTTCTTTCTTTCTTTCTTTCTTTCTTTCTTTCTTTCTTTCTTTCTTTCTTTCTTCCTTCCTTCCTTCCTTCCTTCCTTCAATCATTCATTCTTTCTTGCTTCCTTTCTTTCTTTCTTTTTCTTTTTTTAAGTATTGCGTCCTTACGCTAAAGATTGTTAAGAAGGAAGCCTCAACCGGTGGACATAAGTGAGTTTTTTCTTCTTCAAATTTTGTTCAAGTTCTTTTTGGAACCACTTTGGAAACAAAAATATGGGGTTTTTAGGTTGGGGACATCCTTTCTGCTGCAAACTGCTGGGGTCGAAAATCGCAGAAAGGCCGCTGCTGTAGGCCGAGTGAACGCGAGCTGTCTGCTTGCATCTCGGTAAGTGGAGTGGTTGGTACGAGCAGCGCGGGAGAGACGGGGAGCGATCGGCACAAATGCGCGCGCGGGCTACAAAAGAAGGAGAGAGAGAGAGAGGGTGGGGGAGAGGGGGAGAG